GTGTCTGCATCAAGTGTTTTATATATATATATATATATATATATATATATAAAAAAAAAAATATATATATATAAAGCATATTAAATGCCAGTTAAATGTGTTTTAAGGTTTCAAATAACTTGTGAAAATAAAATGTTAAAATAACATTCCATCATCATTCAGCGTTACAGATATATTTATGTAAAAATGAAATGACATTCTGACTTGCTAGAATGTATGAAAGATGACTAAATTATTATTTTAAATGATTAATAACTGCTTACTGATAAATGGGTAAACCTAGTGGTTTGAAGGATAGTGGCAAAGATTGGTAAATTTAAAATGACAGTTTATATTAAACTTGAAAATGGTATAAAAGTTTTTCAAAACCAATGTTATGAAGCCAACGTTAATACAGAATTTTTTTTTTTTTTTAACGATTTTTGAAAGGCTGTTCTCGGGTGTTCTCATAAAAAGTGATTTCATTTTAATCTTGTACTGCAATGAATTATTAATATTAATGAGGAACTAAGAGTTATTGATCAGTAGCTGCATCTTTCCCTCTAACAGGCTCTCTGTATGCCGACCTTCCAGCTGTTAGAGCATCCTAATGGACTGCGCAATCACCCCGACACAGTGGACGATCTTTTTCGACTCGTCACAAGGTACCAGTTCTGTGCTTCTGCAATAGTGTTAGAAAAACAAGCTCCAAATAAGTGACTTGCCACACAAAAATAACATTCATTAAGACTAGTGGTCGACCGATATATCGCCAAGGCCAATATATCGGCCGATATTTGGCATTTTTCAAATATCGGCATCGGCCGATAAGTTTTTCTGTTTGGCCGATTCGTTCGAGGCGGGACTTTTATTTTGACGGCGCGACAGACTTTTATTTTGATGGCGCTGAGAGCGGCAGCACATGAACACAGTGCTCACATTCTCCCTCTTGTTCGCCGTCGTCGTTAACAGTTCTGTCTAATACGGATAGAAGTCTGTCTAATTAATTATAATACTTTCTCGTTTGCCGTCAGCATTCAGCAAATGCGCATTTACATCATTTAAACAAATCTTTGAATGGCTAATGAAAATTTTATTTCACAAACCTTGCAAACTTTGTCGAATCAAGTGAGATCTTGTGAAGTGTGCATGTGACCTGCATGATCGTGTTCTCTGCGTGACTTTCGGTCCGTGCGAATTGAATGCTTTAAACATTAAATTTGTGATTTCAAATTACGCTGCGCTTTATGCATTTGCCCACTGTCATATTCATGTCATTTTCACTGTGCTGTATGTAAAATGAGTGTTACCTTGGCTTTATTTAAAAAAAGAAATATATGATTCAGATGCGCATTAAATATCGCATGCGATTTATCGTGCAGCCCTAATATAGACATTTTACAGATATGAGGTATTTTAATTTTTTTTTTTTATTATTAAGATAACCTCTTTTCCCATCCTATTTAAAATTGATCCATGTTTTTCTTACAACACCCCAACAATTGGGGATAAAATAATATAATAATGAGATGAGAATAAATAAGAAATGAATACTATAAAAATAATTTAAAATATTAAATTTTTTTTCAATTTAATATTTTTTTCAAATTTTATTATATTATTTTGTCCATATGAACCCATTTAAACTTCCATTCTAACATTTCTTATCTATCATTTGTTTTTCTAATGACTTTATTGCCTTCAAAACATTCAAACTCGAATCTTTAAAACTATTGTAAACTTCAAACTATTTCAAACTGAAAACCACCAAACTTTTAAAACTTTTTTAAATGTTTACTTTTTAAAACTTTATGGCCTAGCTTTCTCATGCCAACTTCAAAGTTTGTCTTGACAAACTTGTTTATCTAGTTTTATTATTTTATTTTTAATGTGATAACCAGTGTTTTACTAAAGATTTTGAAACATTTATTTACTATTCCTGTCTCTAGCCTTTTAAATACATTTCAGAGATCTTTCAGTATCATTTTCCTTTCGTAAATTAGGCTGTGATGTCAATTGTCACATGTTGTGGCTGTCTCTGTGTCTGTAGACGTTTTGCCGCTGGCTGGAAACCACACTGAAGGGTCTTCCAAAAGAAACAGCAGGAGGCGCTCTAACCGTCACACACAAGCAGCTCACCGACTTCCATAAGCAGGTATATCGGCTTTATATTGGCCACCCTGCTTTCCAAGATATCGCATCGGCTGTCAAAAAAACAATATCGGTCGACCACGAATTAAGACAAGCTATTTTCTTTCATTATTTCAGGTTTGTCCAGCGTAGTCCGGTCACGTTGCTGAGCAGCACTATTATCGTCCACATTATCCAATGTGCCATCGCTGCCACCACCCTGGACCATCGAGATGCCAACTGCAGCGTCATGAAGTTCGTCAGAGACCTCATTCACACCGGGGTCACCAATGACGTAAGCGGCATGATGATCAAACTAAACCAACCAATCGAAAGACTTTCATTCCTGTTCAGTCATTGCATAAAACGTTTTTTCTTGTCTTTCAGCATGAGGATGACTTTGAGATTCGAAAGCGTCTGATTGGCCAGGTGATGGAGCAGCATGGGCAGCAGCTAGTGACTCAGCTGATCAACACCTGCTGTTTCTGCCTGCCGCCTTACACTCTGCCTGATGTGGCGGAGGTACTCTGGGAGATCATGGTCTTTGATCGGCCGGTATGTTTGTACTCTTTTTGAACACTTTTTGAATGTCCCTCAAATACAGATTTACTTTTATGCATTGCAACCCTCTGCACACCTTGGCAATAGATTTGCCATTGGCTAGTACTTTTTTTTTTTTTTTTTTTTTTTTTTACGTGTCAGACTCTTCGTACAGCTTTTTACTGTACGAAAATCTGTGCTGAACAACTTCTTCGCCTTTAACCCAAACACTAGCCCATTGAAATCTAACAATTATTAACCAATGGCTAACAATAGACATTATGTAGTCACCTAGCATTAGAATTTAGATGTATATGCAAGTGATTTATTCGCATTGTAGAGGGTAAGACTCTTGTGTAAAATTTGCTTGCATTTGAAGAATACATATAGACTAGGGCTGCACGATAAATCGCATGCGATATTTAATGCGCATCTTGTCAGTAAAGCCGTTCTGTAATCAGTGGTAAATCTCCATCACCTGCGGGCTTTCACACTGTGCAGCATTAACTACACAGAGCCGTTGTTCACTGATGAGCTGCGCAAAACCACGTTAGCAGCTCACCGACTTCCATAAGCAGGTCACGAGGTGAGCTTGTGCCCGCCGTCACCTGAGTCTTCAAAGAAGGCCGTGAACATCAGATAATTTCATTACACTCCCGAGGAAATTGGCCTGTTCCTTAATTAAAAGTGCTTTTGCCTACAATAAAAAGTAATATAGTGCTCATCAGTGTAGATTACAGGCAACATTTGTCTTTTGAGGTATTGCAAGTTGGTGCACGTTTAGTTCTCCTTGTGGTTAGCTCAGCACGGCATGCATAAACAAGTTCCCATAACCAGTCGTCCAAGAGGGTGAAGTATCTCATACTTCAGCAAGTCTTGACCTGAGGAACGAGGAGGCTCCCAGCGTGGTGTTGTGCACAGATGCCAGATACATATTCTGACAATGCAGAATGAGTCGCAGGCTTGCATGGAAAGTCCAAACCATGCCAGACTGATTGATGCAGCATCGATGTGTTGTTCGCCCATGCTTTCGGCGTGTTTGTAAATTGACCTGTGATTAGTAATAATGGAGCAGCTTATTGTTTATTAGTTGAAGAGTGATGCTAATTTGCTCTCTCTGTTTCTCCATCTATCTATCAATCTGTCACCCCAGTGCAGAGGAATGTAAACAGGTTTGTTGGGCGATAAGAGAGTTCACCAGGCTGTACCGATAGCTGTCTTTTGCCTGCTGATGCTGCAAGACCAGGTAACACAAGCATATTGAACACTACATTTGTAATGTTATTGTGCATAACATGGAAACTTAATCCTCAGTGAATGAAGTTTATTTAATAATGAAATTATTTTAATTCAAATACTCAGATGAATTCATTTAAAATGTATTTTTTGCTTTCTTTATATTTGTCTTAATCGGTGTTCTTAAATCATTTTAAAATGAACGTTATACTATATATTACTTTATATTACATATGTAAGATGTAGTATCGTATATTGCAATATATTAATATATACTCTTGATATTAAAATAATGTTGAAGATTTAAGTTTTCAATTTATGTAGGCTAATGTAATTATTAATTCATATAATCAAAGTAATTAATTTAAATATTGTATTTTTTGCTTTTTATATTTGTTGTAATACATTTGTGTTAATTTATTTTAAATGGAACTATATTATATATGTAATAATTATTATACAAATTTTGTAGTACAGTATCTTAATATAGTAAAGATTTAAAGTTTTATTTCTTTTAAATATTGAGTTTTTTTATTATAAAATGTTATAATATATAACAAAATATAATAATATAAATGTATAATAAATATAAAATATTTATTATTTTATTATAATTTCTGGAGCTGGAGTGTTTACAAAATGTTGATAAAAAAAGAAAAAGCATTTATACAATTGCATTATCAAGTCAAATCCAGTCTCCCCCCCCCACCCCACCCCACATTTTTTACCTGTGCTGAATCACGATTTTGTGAAAAATGTAATTGTATCACGTCATAAGCAGATTAAGTTTACATTAACTTAGATGTTGTCAGAAAACATCTCTTTTTTTTTAGTCACAAATGACTGGAAATTCATGGTCAAACATGTTTCAGCATTATAAAACGTTCTCTCTCGCCCTCTGCAGGTCAGATTTTTTTGTTTTGCTAACATTTGGAGGAAGTGGCAAAGGTAGCCATGATGACCACTGTTGAGAAACTAAAGGGTACTCTTGCATGAAGGATCGGTGGGACTTGGCAAAATGGGAAAGCCGACCAATTGAATTGGAGCTTTGGAATGGCAGGGTTTCAGGAAAAGCAAATTGCCTTGTGGGTGTCAAAAGACTGCAGCCCCATCCCTCCCTTTTACCTCTATGAGCACACTGATGCCAGCCGCACAGAGAGAAGGGGGGGATATTTCGGAAGGGACACCGTCGTCTTGTGGGAGGGGGGCCGTCGAATGGACACTGAAATACATACACCCATTTCAAAACATGGATGAACGTCTGCATCGGTCAGATTTCTGGGGGTCCATCAAAAACCAACGACAAATAAGGATGTGCCTGGTTGCAAATCATAATGCATCATTAAAAAAAGAGAGACTTGTAAGTTTTTAAAAACAAATGGAGATTTATTTTCATGGACGTGTTTAGAGATCAAGATATGGCTTTGCTGCCAGTGCCATAAAAACGACTACCAAATTAAAGATCGTCACAGCAGCAGCCTGCGCCTGTGGGACATTTGGAAAGGGAGAATCTTGGGAGAGTTGGCGTCACCCTTGATCTTTTTAAAAGTTGGCTGGGATTTTATCCGTACAGGTTATGCTGTAAATTATGGAGTGGACTGACTGGCAGGGGCTTTTTTTTTGTTTTCTCACCCTATTGGCACATCTCGAGATGCAGAGATCGTCTTCGGCCGATTGTGTGAACAAATAAAACCAACATTGTGAGGAACAAACTAATCTTTGTCTCGAGTATCATTTCAGATGCACTCGTGTGTTTGAGAAGTGACTTGTATTCTCTTTCTGCAGCTCTCAGAACCTGTTTGACCAGGTTTCATTTTAAGAAAGTTACATGGGTCCTTTAGGTCTCGTTTTCTGAGTCATAGAGTAAATCGAACCCTCCTCTATTGTCTGAATTTTTCGAAGGCCCTACAATCATGCGTTTCTCAATTGCGCAAGTAAACCCTCAGGCCACCCCTCCCGCATCCAATTTGCTGAATGAACTTTATGTAGTCAAAGTACGTAGTCATATCCGTTCAAGTTCGACAGATTCGTGTTACTGGCAGGGACCCTATCGGATGAGGTCAGCAGATATTATCCACCTGCTCTGGTAATGTTTGCAAAGAACTTGCATTAAATATGAGTCTTAAATCTATGAGTAATAGCTTATTTCAGGGTTTTACAGGGTCGGCGTTGTACTAAGGTTGCTCATGGGACGAATCATACTGTGGTAACCTGATCATGCCAGCAACCATTTAAAATACTGCAATGGTATTTATTGAAACATAACATTTTAAAAGACAAGTTTACATGAAGACAAAAAAACGTGGGAAAAGAAATGTCAAGTTTGGTCTCCAATGGAAATGTTTTCAGTATGGCATCAGTGAGGGCACCTATATATTCCAGTGTTCCACAGGACCTCCAATTCTGAGCAGGCAATGAACAAGATGGTGTTGCTGATGAAAAAATGGGCTCCTCTTTCAGTTAGTGGATGTTTTGAGCCCAGGTGAGGTGCGCGTTTTGACTTTGCAACAGTCTGTGGAGCTCTTTGAACTGCTCCACCGTTTGGTCTTTCAGGTCAGGGTTGGAGATCTGCAACCGAATGCTGTCTGTGGACCACGAAAGCTCGCCTGAAAACATCTCGGTAATGATTCTTGCAACAACTGGAACAACCTAGATAAAGAAAAAACGGCAAGTTTTAGTATCAGCAGATGGCTGTCTATTATTAAGCCAAGTTTATTTCGCTAAAGCAATCTATGCTAGTTTTGATAAACGCTAAATTATAAAACAACTCTAGCTCTGGATGCTGATTGGCTAAAATACAACATCTGTTCATCTAGTAATATTAGTGCTATATTATGAACAAAATGTTCTTGCTAACACAATTTAGCAATGTAACATGATTTGCTAAGTCTAAAGAGTGCTAAATTATAAAAAAAACAGCACTGGTCCTAAAATGCATTATATAATAACAGTTGTGACTTAAAGGGGTCATATGATGCGATTTCAATTTTTCCTTTCTCTTTGGAGTGTTACAAGCTCTTGGTGCATAAAGAAGATCTGTAAAATTGCAAAGACTAAAGTCTCAAATCCAAAGAGATATTCTTTATAAAAGTTAAGAGTCAGCCACACCTACCTAAAACAGCTCGTTCTAACACGCCCCCACATACCTACGTCACAATGTGGGAAGATTTGCATAACACCGCCCAAATGTGCACGCAAAGAAAGAAAGCGTGGTTTCAGGAACAGCAGTAGTGTTGATAAAGCCATGTCAGGGAGACGCTGTGTGATTCAGTGCGAAAGCAAAAGCACTTTATTTGGCCTTCCGAAAGTAGATGCATTTAGGAATCTTTAAGATTACTTACAACAGAACAGCAATGCATTTTATGGACGACCGTTTCATGAACCTAGGAGAGGAGGTAATTCTGACTTTGCTATGACAATCTGGCGCTTCTGAATTGCCAGCCACAGAGAGAGAAGGGGGGGATATTTCGGAAGAGACACCGTCGTCTTGTGGGAGGGGGGCCGTCGAATGGACACTGAAATACATACACCCATTTCAAAACATGGATGAACGTCTGCATCGGTCAGATTTCTGGGGGTCCATCAAAAACCAACGACAAATAAGGATGTGCCTGGTTGCAAATCATAATGCATCGTTAAAAAAGAGAGACTTGTACGTTTTTAAAAACAAAAATGGAGATTTATTTTCATGGACGTGTGTTTATTGATCAAGTTATGGCTTTGCTGCCAGTGCCATAAAATGATTACCAAACTAAAGATTGTCACAGCAGCAGCAGTCTGCGCCTGTGGGACATTTGCGAAGGGAGAGTTGGCGTCACCCTTGATCTTTTTAAAAGTTGGCTGGGATTTTATCCGTACAGGTTATGCTGTAAATTATGGAGTGGACTGACTGGCAGGGGCTTTTTTTTTGTTTTCTCACCCTATTGGCACATCTCGAGATGCAGAGATCGTCTTCGGCCGATTGTGTGAACAAATAAAACCAACATTGTGAGGAACAAACTAATCTTTGTCTCGAGTATCATTTCAGATGCACTCGTGTGTTTGAGAAGTGACTTGTATTCTCTTTCTGCAGCTCTCAGAACCTGTTTGACCAGGTTTCATTTTAAGAAACTTACATGGGTCCTTTAGGTCTGGTTTTCTGAGTCAGAGTAAATCGAACCCTCCTCTATTGTCTGAGATTTTCGAAGGCCCTACAATCATGTGTTACTCACAATTGCACGTGTAAACCCTCAGGTCACCCCTCCCGTGTCCCATTTGCTGAGTGAACGTTATGTGGTTAAGTCAGTAGTCATATCCGTTCAAGTTCAACAGGTTCGTGTTACTGGCACGGACCCTATAGGATGAGGTCAGCAGATATTATCCACCTGCTCTCGTAATGTTTGCAAAGGACTTGCATGAAATACGAGTCTTAAATCTGAGTGACAGCTTAGTTCAGGGTCAGAGTTGTACTAACGTTGCTCAAACATTCATGGGATGAATCATACTGTGGTAACCTGATCATGCCAGCAACCATTTAAAATACTGCAATGGTATTTATTGAAACATAACATTTTAAAAGACAAGTTTACATGAAGACAAAAGAAAGAAATGTCAAGTATGGTCTCCAATGGAAATGTTTTCAGTATGGCATCAGAGAGGGCACCTATATATTCCAGTGTTCAAAAGGACCTCCAATTCTGAGCAGGCAATTAGCAAGATGGCGTTGGTGAAGGAAAAAATTGGTTCCTCTTTCAGTTAGTGGATGTTTTGAGCCCAGGTGTGGTGCGTGTTTTGACTCTGCAAAAGTCTGTGGAGCTCTTTGAACTGCTCCACCGTTTGGTCTTTTAAGTCAGGGTTGGAGATCTGCAACCGAATGCTGTCTGTCGACCACGAAAGCTCGCCTGAAAACATCTCGGTAAGGATTCTTGCAACAACTGGAACAACCTAGATAAAGAAAAAAAAAATTGCAGGTTTTTAGTAGATTTAGCAGATGCTGTTTATAATTAAACCAAGTTTATTTTGCTAAAGCAATCTATGCTAGGTTTGAAAAAAGTTAAATTTTGAAATAAGTTTAGTTCTGGATGCTTATTGGCTAAAATACAACATCTGTTCATCTAGTTATAGTTGTGCTATATTGAGAACACAATTTATCAATATGGTAAAGAACGCTAATATAAGAATGGTCCTAATATACATTATATAACAACAGCTGTGACTTGAAAAAAGTTTGCGCACCTAGTTATAGCAGATATATTGTGAATACAATGCTGCACATGATTGCTAACACCACATGGTTTGCTATATATATAAAATCTAGCTCTGGTTCTGGATGCTGATTGGTTAAAATACACTATATAGTAACATTCGACACTAAACACCTGTTTGCCTAGTTATATCTATGCATCGGTGCTAACAACGCAATTTAGCATGGTTTTGTTGGCTTTGACGAACATTACATTATGAAACTGTTTCTGGGTACTGATTGGCTATAATACACTATACAGTTTGACATCAAACATCCATTCGCCTGGTTATAACTGTGCATTGTTGCTAACAATGGAATTTAGCAATATAGCATGATTTGCTAGTTGTGAAGAATGTTAAAAAAAATAGCTCTGGTTCTGGATCCTGATTGGCTAAAATGCACTAAATAGTAACGGCTATAATGGCAAACACCTGTTCACCTAGTTATTGCTTGTGCATCGTTGCTAACAACACATTATGGTATGGTTTGCTAGGTTTAAAGAATGCTACATCATAAAACAGCTCAGGTTCTGGATGCCGAATTGCTCAAATACACTAATAACATATCTGACATGACACCAGTTCACCTAGTTGTTGTGAATTTAACATTGCGAGTCATTGCTAACAACTTGATTTAGTGATGTAGCACAGCCTTGTATACCATAAACAACTAAATAGAGTCTTTGCACTCTGAAGTAAACCAATTAACATGGATTTCATCTCCAAACCTGGACAATGATGAGCTTTTTCTCCTTGGGCTTCCTGTCTGGCCAGTCCTCACCGAAGCAGAAGTAGATCTCAAAGGGTGGTGGAGTGGGCGTCTCTCCTTTCTGATACAAAATGAGACCTGAGAAGAAAAAAACAAAATAGCCATTTTGTTAGACTGAATCTTTTGCATAGCAAATCTACAAAATGATCCCAGCCCGTCATATGCACATTTGACATCTCTTGAGAAAATTCCTGCATGCGAGTTCGGAAGTGTTTTTTATATATACGCATAATAAAATGGATGTGTTGGGCAATTTTGTATTTTCTCTTTTTCACTTCCCAGAAAAGACAGGAAGCTTCTGTAGAATTAACAGAATAAAATAAAGAGCAAAGGGTGTTTAATTGGTGGTCTATGTATTTTAACATTGTTGCGCTGCCATAGAGAATGGATGTGAACGTTTGGTCACCTCATAAATCAGTTACATTTCTGTCAAGTTTTAAAGCTGTTCTTCATTAACAGTACATAAAATGCATAAATGTGTAAATAAAACCATTCTTCCAAACTCAGAAACTTGAGACTAAAAGAAAATCCAGGGGTTGCCAGTTATGAATCCCAATCCAGTCTCATATGTGCTCAATTGTTTGTCAGTGCTCTAATGCAGTCACAATAAATTAGCTTGTAATTATTGAAATGCAAGACTGATTCATCTTACACTGAAGGAAGTTGTTCAGACTGAAGACCCTGATCTTCATTTCTCTTTCCATTGGATTGGGCGGACCCTGCTCGGGCACACCTGGCCCAGACCAGAACACTTTACACTGGCACAGCCTGATGGCGTAGATATCTTGTCCCCTGATCTCCAAAATCAGCCCTCGGTCCATCACATCCAGCAGATGATCGGTATAGAACCTCTGCTTCTCGTTCTGGAGCTCAGCAGTTCCTGGGAACAGTACCTGCTGCAGTGTTACTGGACCGAACAGCTCTACTTGCTCTGGTGTGGGCGCCAGGTTACCGTAGTAAAGTCTACAACCCTGAGGGTTACTGACGGTCAATGAACCAGCTGTCCGACCCCTGTACTGGAACTTGATATCCAGATCAGTCACTAGAGAAGAGAAAACAAGGAACATTTTATTGTCATTTACTCACCATTGTTTCTTGGTCGTTTCAAAAAGAGATGTTTCGTACAATGTCGATGCTTCTATTTTCCATACAATGAAAGTGAATGGTGATAAAGTGATACCCAAGTCATTATAAAAGTGGCCCATACAAGACTTCTGTAGTTATACAATAAGTTTGTGTGAGAAACAAATATAAATTTATATTGATCACTGAAAATGTTCTCGACAGCTCTCAAATTCCACTCACCTTTTTGTATCTGGTGTATCAAGACATGTTAGGCTAGTTTTGACATCAATTATGGCAGATGTCAATTATGTCAAATATCAATGGTTCTTGTAACGGAGCATGATGTGTCGAATTTGCAAAAGCGCATATTCAAATAGCATAACTGACATTTGAATTCTATTATATGATTTCTTAAGACTTGAAATTCGGTGCAGAAGTCATTTGGACAAATCTTGTGATAATTTTATGGTGCTTTTTTTTTTTTTTTATAACTTTGAAGGTTTTTTGGGGGAGTTTTGGTCACCATTTACTTTCATTGTATGGAAAAGAGCAGCATTAACGTCCAGCCTAACGTTCTCCTTTTGTGGTCTATGGAATTACAAAAGAGTGAATGAATGATGACAGACCTCAAATTTTCTTTAATAACAGATTACCAGTCTAACAACTGAAATTTTCATAATTTCATAATACAGTTAAGGTGTGCATTATATATGTTTGTAGTGGCTCTATACACACCTCTTGCAAAGTCATTTAACATCAGCATTACTCAAAGTGAACGGGCGGGACTAGGTTTTTTCTGCAATTTAGGTATGTCTTCATCATAAACTGCAACATTAATCCAGAAGAACAAGGCATTAGAGGCTTACAGGGTAACATGTGCGGACTGCTCAGCAACTCTGAGATGCAGGGATGAACCTGGTTCTCCGCTTGAGCTGGCACCTCTTGCATTGGGCTGTCCACTATGGCTGGAGGGCCTACAGAATGAGTGACTACATCTTGAAGACCAGGAGGCGGTATGACTCCAGTCCCCATTCCGTTTGGAAGTCCCCCGCCATGAATGGGATATGGCGTCTGCTCAACTTTGATAGCACTGTGACTGGGAAATTCAGTCAAAGAACCAGCCGAAGGTCCAGTGCTAGGCTGGGAGAGGTGAGAGGTCATAGGAGCACCTCCACTGGGGTTATTATGGACAACTTCTCCTAAGAGGTTCATTGGAGGGTTATGGTGGGTGGGATTATAGCCGTCAGCAATAGAAGAGGTGAACAGAACGTCAACTCTAGGAGGATATGCTGGGTAGCTGGAAGTGTCTGTTAAGCACCATGCAAAAAAGAATTACTGTATATATAGATTATCAATAGTCATTTATTCTAAACAACATCCACTTCGAAATCTTACCAATGGAGAGTTTGACAAAGTTTTGCAGCTGAAATGCAAAACAATAATTCAATTACTATATGAAGACAATGGCAAAAATTGTGTTGATTTTACTATTTATTTATTTCAACTTGCAGTTATTCAAGCTATTCTTCTACGCTCTATGCTCTTCAGAACTTACCTCCTCTTCCTCATCGTCTCCAGCATCTAAAATCAACAAAAGAAGAGATGATTTATTGGCTTGTCCATCTTTTAATCCTTAAAGACTTCTATGGTTTCATTCCTGTGTGGATATTTCCTACTTAAACAAGAAGTTGTGGTGGGACAAATTGAATAATCTGAGCGAACCAATTGAGATCTTATGAGCAAACAGTGTTGTTTCAGCAAGTATACCATGTTACTGGTTTGTAGGCATGCGTTCCTGGTCCTTACCTCCATTGACTGACTGGTCGCACACCTCATAGATCTTATAAGGCTGGACGGGGGTGTCCTTAGTGCCATCGTAGTGGAGTCCGAACTCTCGGCTTTTGTTTAGGGCACAGCGGAGGTTGGCCTTCCATTTGGCTGGATCTGGCTCATCTACTCCTTCCTGGTACTTGCCTGTTTCCAGAGCCCAAGCCTGTAGAGCAAAAGGAGAAAACATGCTTGTGGGAAATATCTAGACACATGACTTGTCCCTTTATTTTTTAAACAGACAATGAGCTTTTATGTCACAGTTGATTTGAAGTATAATTAGGGGGCAAGACTTTCCTATTCTAGTATTTGATTGGGAAAAAATGTAGTGCAGGATAAGTCGTCAATATTTTTGATGTGTTTTGTTGAAAACGAAAAACTACATTTTAAAGCAAATGTGAAGTCTGTCAAAATACACTTGCTTAAAAATGCCTCCTTGGAGTTCTTACAGTCACAAAACTAATTTTGAATTCGCAAAGTCTTTAAGCTCATGGTTCTAAACTTTTCTTGACTTCCCCTAAAATCTTGCCACAGTGAAGTCAAGTGGAATTGAAACTCCATTTTTAGTTCTCCAAAGCTGGTTGCAAAAGTACTAAAAAGATGATCCAAGTAACACATTACTAGAACTTGTAAATGCAGACATTTAATGGCTCAGTGTTCTACAAAACAGTGATTTGTTTTCCAATCATTTTCTGTTATTTGAATAATTAAATGCTGAAGAGTGAAACTACTTGGTGTTTCAGTACTCTGAAACTCCAAACCCCAACCCCCCCCCCCCCCAAAAAAAAAC